TCAGCAGACAGAGACGGATTGTGGTGTGCCAAACTCTGGAAGTTTATTTAAGTTTCTCTCAAGTTCCACTGGTTTACTTTGTTTCTTTCTCTCAGACAGAATAAAGGCAGTACACAGTTTATATAGTCATTGTCACGTCACACATCGAAAGACATACGTGTCACAAAGAGACAGTCACATCATAGTCATAACATGGAGTCCTTGTAGAGTCCTTGTACAGTCCTGCACGTAGGCCATATTGCTATCTAATACTAACAGCTCAACTTCGACTCGGATGATCCTGACATACAAACCTACCTGCAGGACAACAAATGCACATGGATGTTCAATCCTCCCCATTCCTCCCATATGGGTGGAGTTTGGGAGAGAATGATTGGCATTGCAAGGCGAATCTTGGAGGCTCTCCTTCTCAAAACAAACATGTCATTGTTAACTCATGAAATGCTTATCACTCTAATGGCAGAGGTCACTGCTATTATGAACTCAAGACCCTTGGTTCCAATATCCTCTGACCCAGAATCACCAGCAGTCCTCACCCCATCAATGCTGTTAACTCAAAAGATGGACTCACTTTCCGCACCCGCAGGAGACATGCAGGACCTTTCAAACAAACAATGGAAAAGAGTACAAGGACTAGCAGACACATTCTGGAAGCGATGGAGGATGGACTATCTAATGACTCTACAACCCAGAAGGAAATGGAATTCTGAAAAAGTCAATCTGCAAGTTGGAGATGTTGTACTACTCAAGGATTCCCAAGCCAAAAGAATGGATTGGCCTCTTGGACTTGTGGTTAAAACTTTGCCTAGTCCGGATAATAAAGTACGTAAGGTTGAAGTTAAGGTGTCTAAGCAAGGTGTACCTAAAGTCTACTTAAGACCAATATCAGATGTAATTTTATTGTTTCATAAAGTAAATGTTTAATGGTTTGGTATTAGTGGTATAATACATTATACCAGGCGGGGAGTGTGCCGTCTCCCAAAAACCTTTTACAGTTATTTTACAGTGTTGCACTACCCTCTTGTGGTGAGTCTGTTTACGACATGTTTTGTAAAAGGAAGTTGTTCGGCCGCCATCTTGATTGTGTGAAAAGTAATGAACACATGCAGTAGTTGCTGTGGGTCTGCTCTCTGCTCAGAGTGCAAAATAGCTTCCACGGAGTTTTTAGGAGCATATGCCTGTAAGTTTTGTTTGTTGAAGGTGTTGTGTACCAACAGATCTAATGTAACCATGTTATTGTTATGCTAAACGGTCGCGATAGTTATGCTAATTAGCCGCGGCTAAGCTAGCGGACTTTTCCCCATTATTTTTGCATATTGAAATTAGCTGCTATTGCTATTAGCTGATACTAGTTTCTGTTACAAGCATTTTATAAGCTATATTTGTCACATACTGTCAGCTGTTTTCTATGCAAATACTGACTGCATTTTTACGTTTGTTTATTTTCAGTTTTACAACTTTTGAATGGAGCAATAAACATAGCTCGAAGTCACTCAGCATTGTCTTCATGTCAAGTCTGTTCGCTATCTGCCAAACTACACACCAACATCGTCTAGGGAGGGCAGAATAAATACACTTAGAAGAAAAACAACAACATGCTATCTTTATCTTCTTAAACTAGTATTTGTGTGATGAGCCCTGTGACTGTGACGGCTGAGAGCTGACTATACAGAACTGTAGATGCAGACTTTACAAATGAAATTATATAATTAGATATAATCAATATTAAGTATATATTTACATAATAATTAGAATATTTATAAACATTTATGAACAGACGGGTATAATATAGTAACTATATACAATAGCACCAATAGACAGCAGATAGCTCTGTTAGTATTAGATAGCAATATGGCCTACGTGCAGGACTCTACAAGGACTCTACAAGGACTCCATGTTATGACTATGATTTGACTGTCTCTTTGTGACACGTATGTCTTTCGATGTGTGACGTGACAATGACTATATAAACTGTGTACTGCCTTTATTCTGTCTGAGAGAAAGAAACAGAGTAAACCAGTGGAACTTGAGAGAAACTTAAATAAACTTCCAGAGTTTGGCACACCACGATCCGTCTCTGTCTGCTGAATCCTCGACAGATTTGGTGGAGAATGTGCGGCTCCGTGTGCGCCATTCTCTGGATTGTTTTGAGGGAGTTTTCTTTGTTTCTTTTTCTCGGCGTGGGAGAGCTGAGAGTGTCTGGGGCCTGGGAGCGGTCCAGCAGGCTGGAGAGGCGACCGGCTCCGGGACTCTTTTTCGCTCTCTCACTATATTTTTTTGTGTCCTGTTTTTTGGACTGAGCGTTTAAAATTGTTTTCCCATGTCCACATTCCGGGGATTTTTGACGTGCGATTGGTCTCTGCCGATGGAAACTAGTTCCCGGTACTAGTGAGCGCTGGTTCATGATCTGGAGACCCGGTTGGACGTGGAAAAGCTGATATTTGGTGGACTTCTGACGGTGCCTGGCGCCCTGTTCAACAAAAGGTAAGAGCGGACACCTGTTTATTCAAAGTCTGCTAATTGAGTGAACTAAATTATGGTCTGTTTTGAGGTCTGCCAAATGTCATGTATCTATAGATCAGATTAGATTAAAAACAGGTTCGCTACCTGACGGGGTTAGAGTCCCTTTGAGAAGAAGTCTCGGGGTTAGAGTCCCTTTGAGAAGAAGTCTCGGGGTTAGAGTCCCTTTGAGAAGAAGTCTCGGGGTTAGAGTCCCTTTGAGAAGAAGTCTCGGGGTTAGAGTCCCTTTGAGAAGAAGTCTCGGGGTTAGAGTCCCTTTGAGAAGAAGTCTCGGGGTTAGAGTCCCTTTGAGAAAAAGTCTCGGGGTTAGAGTCCCTTTGAGAAGAAGTCTCGGTGTTAGGGAGGAACTGGACTGTATAATGCTAATTCAAGGAGGGGTCAGACATGAAACAAGATGGGGCGTCGGTCAGAACGCAGGGAAGGAAAGATGGGGAGAGACCAGGTTGAAGTTCAGGTATTTTATTGCAGCCGCCACTGCTGCACAGGTTGCTTCACACAAACACACAGTCTGCAAATACAGATAAATACAATGAATAATCAAACATATTATTCAATAACTTTACAGAGAAAAATGTTCTTATAAAGCATGCTCACTTAAATACACGCTCTTATTAGTACAAACAATTAATATCAATAAACAGAACATACATAACCAGCATTAAATGGCTGCATAATGAAGTCCCCTGAACTTAATGCTGGCGCAGAGTAATGGCACCCTCTAGCGGCCGCGGAAGGTCATTACATTACCTCGCGGCACAAACATGACACATTCTTACTAAGATTCAACATTAAACAACTGCATATGCTCCAGAAATGGTGAGAACTTACATAGATACCCTGCAATGAAGGAACACACATAACTAGCTTGTCACAAACTCTCACTACAGTAAACTCCACTCGAGGCGAGGAGCGCATTTACACATGAACCAGACCATTGTGTTTACAGCGAGAAAGGGGTAAATAGCACAACAATATACAACATTAAACACTCACGTTTCATCAGTGACTGAGTTTGAGGTAGCAGTGGGCTGGAACTTCCCACAAAGTGAGCTAACTGTAGGACACAACTTAGCTGCCGTTACAAGAACCGCGAAACGTAACGAGCCAGGCAGTCACGTAAGTTACGTAAGTCACGTGACTCCCCTCACAGGGCTGAGCCTTTATTACAGCCGCCCCCAAATGTGCTAGGCACATTTGCTCCAAATGAAGGCGAGTCAAAAACTAAAGGAGTAGAAACTATTCTTCTCCTGAAGGAAGCGCTGGCAGCATCACTAAACGCGCTGCAGGTCGAGTGTAAACATGACCATTCATCTCTACATCTGCGGACCGAACACATCCATCTGCACTACGATGTACATTTACCACATGTCCTATGGGCCAGGAAGATCTAGGTAAGTGAGGCTCGACTAACATCACAACAGCATTGTCCAGTAGCTCAGGGGAAACTGCCTGCCACTTCTGTCGAGTCTGTAGAGTTGGGAGGTATTCACGGATAAACCTTGTCCAAAACTGGTCAGCTAACACCTGACAGTGTCGCCAACGTCTGCGACTCACGATCTCTGTCTCCGGGTAAACAACCTGAGGTAATGACCCATCCGGCCGCCCCATCAAGAGACTGTTGGGGGTCACCGGGTCAATGTCGGCCACGTCTGCAGAGGTGTAGCCTAGGGGTTTGGAGTTCAGGATTGACTCCACTTCTAATAGTACGGTGAAAAGAACGTCTTCCGGAACAGGTTGAGCCCCAACACAGGCGTGTAGAGCTGTCTTCACCGAACGGATCTCTCGCTCCCATACTCCCCCGAAATGGGGAGCGGCCGGGGGGTTGTACTGGAAATTTATCTTTTGGGAAGCAAGCTGCTGTTGCAGGGTTGGCACCATCTCGGCGAAGGCCTCTTGGAGTTCACGCTCTCCTCCCTTGAAGTTCGTCCCTCGATCGGACCACAGCTCAGCAGGAGTCCCACGACGAGCAATGAATCTGCGGAGCGCCATCAGGTATGCGTCGGTATCCATACTTCTCAGAAGGTCTAGGTGCACGGCTCTCGTTGTTAGGCACTTGAAGATTATGCCCCAGCGCTTCTCCTGACGTCTCCCCACTTTCACCAGCATTGGCCCGAAACAGTCAACACCAGTGGAGTAGAACGCTGGCTTAAACAAACGAAGACGAGCAACGGGAAGGTCGGCCATTTTGGGGATGGATGGCTTGGCTCTCCAGCGTCTACATTCTGTGCAAGCATGTTGGTGTTTGCGAATAGCTTCTCTTCCCCGGAGGACCCAGAAGAGTCTCCGAAGCTCGGCGTAGACCCGTTCTGCCCCTGGGTGGCGGAGATCTGTGTCGTACTTCTGGATCAAGAGCCGCGTGAATAGATGCGCAGGATCTAAGACGACAGGGTGCACTGTGGAGTTGCTGAGGCCCTCTGCACGGCGTAGACGACCGCCCACTCTGATTAGGCCTGTAGATGGGTCTATCTCAGGTGACAAGGTTAGCAAGCGACTGCTGGGAGGGACTGATTTCCCAGCTGCCAGTAACCTTTGGTCTTCAGGAAAGGACTCTTGTTGCATTTGCAGAAGCGCAGCCGTTTCTGCTTGCTGGTACTCGTCGGCGGTGGGGGCTTGTCCGCAGGTGCTACTAGCTTTGGCTTCAATGAGCTCTTGCCAGCTCTTGTAAACTTCTTGAACTGTTCCTGCTGTGACGGCCAGGGCACAGAAGACCGACTTCCGGAACTCTGTGGTGTCCTCCTGTGGTTGGGTACTGGGTGTTTCTGGCCAGGTGTCTGACGTCTGCAGCAGGAAAGGAGGGCCTTGTGACCAGCGGTTGGGCTCCGTAAGGGTCCTGAGTGCCTTTCCCCTGGTCAGGTCATCAGCAGGGTTGTTGGCGGAGTCCACGTAGCGCCAAGTGTGTTCCTTTGTAAGTTCTTGGATCTCGGCCACTCTCGCACCCACGAAAACTTTAAAGCGGCATGACTGGGAATGGAGCCAGGTCAGAACCGTCGTGGAATCTGACCACAGAGTCACCTGGGATACCGTAAGGGTGAGTTCTTCTTCCAGGAGGTGGCAAAGCTGGGCTGCAACCAGGGCCGCGCAGAGTTCGAGGCGAGGGATGGACTGGACACGCTTGGGAGCCACACGTGAGCGAGCGAGGAGAAAGGAGAGGTGGACCCGGCCGCTAGCATCTTCGGTTCTCAGGTACGCCACTGCACCGTAGGCTTGCTCGGAGGCGTCTGCGAAGATATGGACTTGGCGGCTGGCACCTTCCGGATCTGCACCTGTGGAGACATAAGGGTGGGGGAGAGAGAGGAGAGAAAGAAACTGGAGCTCATCTTCCCAACTAGCCCAGGCCTGTCTGAGTTCTGATGGCAGGTTTGGATCATCCCAGCCACGCTGTTTACCCCATAACTGACGGACTATGATTTTGGCTCTTGTACTATAGGGTAGCAGGTAACCTAAGGGGTCGTATTGGGATGCTAGGACTTTATAAATGTTTCTCAGGGTTAGTTCTTTGTAGGTCACAGCTCTGTGTTTGTAGCCCAGGATGTCAGCCTCCCAGTTCCAACTGAGACCAAGCGTGGATTCTTGTGGGTTGGACTTGTCTTGTGCGAGCCATAAGTCAAGGCTCTCTGATCTTGCTGCTTGAGGTAGGTGGCTGAGGACATTTGCATCGTTGCAGGCCCACTGGCGTAACTCGAATCCTGCTGCGGCAAGAAGGGCTCTTAGACGGTCGACGAGTGACTTTGCTTCCTCTGGGGTGTCTAAGCTCTGGAGACAATTGTCCACATAGAAGCAGTTCTCTACTGAAATCTTCAGGTCTTCACTTGGACTGTGATTGGCGACGTGGCGTTGGAGTGCATAAGTAGCACAGCACGGACTGCAGACAGTGCCGAAGGGGAGGACATGCCACTCAAAGGTCTTTGGCGGTTGGTCCACATGCAGGTCTCGCCACAAGAATCGGAGGAGAGGTCGATCTTCTGGAAGGAGGCGGACCTGATGGAACATCCCCTTTATATCGCCGGACACAGCGATGGCCTTTTCCCGAAACCTCAGCAGGACTCCTAGCAGGGAAGCTCCGAGTGTAGGGCCAGGAAGCAGGAACTGGTTTAGTGACTGTCCAAGGTACTCGTGGGAACAGTTAAAGACTAGCCGTGACTTCCCGTTATGACTAACCAGGTGGTGTGGGATATACCACCCCTCCTGGGTTGACCTCTCTTCTTTAACCTCACTTACTGCCCCTGAGTCAACTAGCTTCTGGATTTCCTGTTTATACACCTCTGCTTGTTCTGGGTTCTTTAGGAGACGTCTTTCTGTGCTGCGTAGGAGGGGTAAGACAGAGTCTTTGGGAGCAGCGAGCGGAGGCATGTCAGGATGGTGCAGGAGGAAGGTGGCATATCTGAGAGTGCCATTTACTTCGACACGAACAGTTTTAGCCTGCAGGGTAGCTATGGCTTGGCGATCTTGTTGGGAACGTGTTACTTCCTTGTCTGGCCTGTGGGATACAGAGTCCATCTGCCAAAGTCTTTCGACGTGCTTGTACAGATCTTCTAGTTGGGGTGGGGCCGATGTGAACAGACATTGCACAGCATTGGAGGGCCGCCCCATGAGCTGGACTGGGCCTTGAAGGGTCCATCCCAACTTTGTATGGACTGCGGCTGGGCTGCCTGGCGGGCCGAGTCGAACGGGTTCTACAGGCGTGATCAGGTGGGGCTGGTCTGACCCAATCAAGAGCGAGGGTTCAGCATTCTTGAAGGCTGGAAGAGGAAGACCATGTAGGTGTCTGAACTTCTTTTGTAGTCGTTCGACAGGATAAGTGTGTTGTGCGAGACTTAACTGGCTAGAAGTGAAAGCAGCCTCAATCTTGTAGCTGGTGTGGGGGTTAGACGCAGGGGAAATATGGAAGGACACTGAATACCCGCTAAGGACTTGAATATCCTGCCTAACTGTGCGCAGTGGAAGGTCTTCGGGTGTGCCCTTCATGCCAAGAGCCTTGGCTGCTGCAGGTAGCAGCATGGACCTTTCAGACCCATCATCTAGGATGGCGAAGGAGTTTATAGTGCGGCCACCGTAATGGACAAGGATAGGGGCAATCTTCAGCAGGGCTCTGTTACCTGTACCTGATCTGTCGAGGTAAAGGGCATTGGAGGCGGAACTGGTAAGGCTATTTTCTTGCTTTGTTACCACTGGGTTCTCTGTTCTGATATTTATCTCGTGAAGAGCCTGGAGGTGCTTCCCATTGCATAGGCTACACGGTTTCTTTAGGGTGCATTGTGCCGCAAGGTGGGCTCTTTTGAGAGTCTGGCCAGGTCACTACAGTGACTAAGGTGGTGGTCATTGCCCTCGCAGAATGCACAGTAAGCTTTGTTCTTAACTTTTCCATGGCTTGTTTTAGCGGTCTGGACTGGCTCCTCTGCACCATGGAAGACTGAGACCGTCTGCTTTGGGGCCCGACTGTCACTTCTAGGCCATGACTTCTCTCTACCAGTCTTTATTGTGACCTGACTATCAAAACCTTGACACCAGGATTCATGACGGAGCCACTCTGAAAGGTCAAGGAGGGTATGTCTAGAGCCTGACTGCTTGAAACTGTGCCGGCAAAAATCAGCACGGAGTTCAGCAGGAAGCTTACCTAACAGACGTGCAACATGTGAGCCACAGTTCAGCTCAACATCTCCCTCGGGGCCCAGGGTCTGCAGGAGGCCAACTAAAGACTGAATCTGCAGGGAGAACTTCTGGAAAGCAGCTGTGTCCCCCCTTCGCACTTCGGGGGCCTCAAGGACGCTAGCTATCTTCCGGAGAGCTAGTTGATGGGGTTGGCCAAACCTTTCATGGAGGGCTGCCATGGTGTCTGTGTATGGGGTGGAGGAGTTTAAATAAGCATCTGCTATAAGCCTAGCTTCTTCTAGCCTCAGATGGTCAACTAGTATCTGATATCTGAACAGTTCGGTTGTGTTAGCTGGGAGCAGATTCTCTAAAGCTATGCGAAGTCTAGCAAACTCACTAGGATCTGGGTTTATAAACTTAGGTATTGTGGGTTGAGGGCCTCTGTAGAGGGGCTCAGCTACACGAGGTGGCGCTGTACGAGTAAGAGGCTGGCTGAGTGGCGGTGTCCTAACAGCGGGTTGCAGGTTCCAGCTTGGCTTAGTGGGTAAGTAGGGATGTGGGGGAGGGGGTGGAGGCCACGCCGGGTCATGAGGCTGGTAACTGTCTTCAGGCTCGGGCCAAGGTGGAGGATCAGGCCATTCGCAGTCCCCCTGGTACTCTGCTTGAGGGGGGAGGTAAGTGACTGGAGCTGCACTGCTGGTGGGACGCAACGGTTTGACTGGACTGTACAGGGGACGTGAATTGAGCATTTCAGTTTTCAGTAGACGTGCAGCCTCTATTAACTCTTTCATCTCGGTCCGGGCTTTGTTTAGTTCATGAAGACCAGACTGGAACAGCTGTTGAGATTGGAGTAACTTAGCGTTTTCCTCTTGTACAGCTCGAATCTCCATGTGATGACTCTGTTCATGGTATGGAGAGGAGTAAGAGGTGAAAGGAACAGGGGAGGGCTGGTGGTCCCATTCTCTGGAGGTCCTCCGGAAGCGACTCGGGGCGAGCTGAGGCGTCTCAGTGTGAGCAGCATCCCCGTCGAAGCTTCGTGCGAGAGGAGGGCTGGGTTCTCGGCGATATGGCGCTGCATCTATTGGCTGGTCTGGCTCATAACCAACTTCATAGTCTTGTAACCAAGGAGGGGGTCGTGCTTGTCTCTTGGGTCTCACTGACTGGTACATGCTATCCCCTGGATCCATCTTGAGTACTGTCTATCCGGCTCGAAGGACCAAAGGTTAGGGAGGAGCTGGACTGTATAATGCTAATTCAAGGAGGGGTCAGACATGAAACAAGATGGGGCGTCGGTCAGAACGCAGGGAAGGAAAGATGGGGAGAGACCAGGTTGAAGTTCAGGTATTTTATTGCAGCCGCCACTGCTGCACAGGTTGCTTCACACAAACACACAGTCTGCAAATACAGATAAATACAATGAATAATCAAACATATTATTCAATAACTTTACAGAGAAAAATGTTCTTATAAAGCATGCTCACTTAAATACACGCTCTTATTAGTACAAACAATTAATATCAATAAACAGAACATACATAACCAGCATTAAATGGCTGCATAATGAAGTCCCCTGAACTTAATGCTGGCGCAGAGTAATGGCGCCCTCTAGCGGCCGCGGAAGGTCATTACATTACCTCGCGGCACAAACATGACACATTCTTACTAAGATTTAACATTAAACAACTGCATATGCTCCAGAAATGGTGAGAACTTACATAGATACCCTGCAATGAAGGAACACGCATAACTAGCTTGTCACAAACTCTCACTACAGTAAACTCCACTCGAGGCGAGGAGCGCATTTACACATGAACCAGACCATTGTGTTTACAGCGAGAAAGGGGTAAATAGCACAACAATATACAACATTAAACACTCACGTTTCATCAGTGACTGAGTTTGAGGTAGCAGTGGGCTGGAACTTCCCACAAAGTGAGCTAACTGTAGGACACAACTTAGCTGCCGTTACAAGAACCGCGAAACGTAACGAGCCAGGCAGTCACGTAAGTTACGTAAGTCACGTGACTCCCCTCACAGGGCTGAGCCTTTATTACACTCGGGGTTAGAGTCCCTTTGAGAAAAAGTCTCGGGGTTAGAGTCCCTTTGAGAAGAAGCTTCAGGGTTAGAGTCCCTTTGAGAAAACGTTTTCGGGGTTAGAGTCCCTTTGAGAAAAGATAAAGTGTAGGATCCTTAGTGAAACCATGGTGTAATAATAAAAGCAATAAAAAGGGAAATGTGTTAAAGAGGCCTTTGTTACAAAAGCTTTGAAATTGACGAATTTCAGGCTGATAAATGACAAAAGTAAAGAAGCAACAATATTTCAGTGATCACGGTTTAAATTACATACAGAAAAAGGTAGTTTTTGTTTTTGGCGTGAACAGAGTTCACCGGAGAATGCAGAGTTTTATCTAAAGTTGAGCTATGAGAGCTTTCGTGAGTTATTTACATTTTTTGGCGAGTTTTATCTACAGTTAAGCTATGAGAGGGCTGTATCCAACAGTTGTTTTTTGTTTTTTAGAAAGAGATTTTGAGTTTAAATTAGTTTGCTACCTCGATAAAATAGAAGCGTAAACGTGTGGAAAGTGGCCATTTCTAGACTTGGATGACAAAAGTATAAACTACAAGTTATATTCGCAAAGTAATCTTGAAAGTTATTCTTCTTTCTGTTTTTGCATTTTTGCTAAAACACTGCTTTCTGCCTGTGTGTGTGTGTGCCGCTCTATCTGCTGCCGTTGTCAGGGAAACGGCCCCCTCCTTTGCTGCTCTGGCTCTGAATCAGAGCAAAGCTACTGCTTTAGGATTTCTGGCTTTTCATAGTTGTTATTCCGTTAAATTTGCGAAATTTGCAATTGAACATTGTGTTATGACACAGTTAAACGTTTTTAAACACCATTTAGTGAATAGAAGTTTTGAATTAGTATGTTTTTGAAACCCAAATATTAGTGCTAAAGCTTTGCTTTTCTTTTTAAATCTGCTGCTTATTTCTTAACTTTTTGTGAGTTGTGTTTGTTTTTTATGTTTTTATTTTAGTTACAAAAGCCGTTTTTCAAACATTTAAATTAGAATCTGTGTTAAAAGTGATTATTGATTATAGACTTCGTCTAAAAAAGAAAGAGGGAATTATATTATTAAGTTAAACTACCCAATTCACATTCAAGTGGTGACTTTTGTTTTTGTTTTGACTACACGCCTGACCTTACTGCTGCTGATGCCACAGCAGAGGAGACTGGCTCTAAAATGTGCAAGATAATTAAACACACAGTGCAAAAGTACATAATACATATTTTAAAGTTTGAAGATTTTTAGATTTGAGTCTTGTTTTTTTTATTAAGAGAGTTTCTGGTCTTAAAAATGTCATCATTAGTAAGATAATAAGTAATCTTTTATTTACATAGCGCATGTGGGAAAGCCCAGAGCGCTCCAAAATTGTTTTGACTTTAGGGAGAAAAAACAATCTCATTCGCATACTGATATCTATTGTTTTTTTTTTTAAATTGGCCGTCTCAAGGATTGTTTTTGGGGCGACAGTAGCTCAGTTGGTAGAGCATTGGCCTTAAGGCCAGAAGGTCGTGGGTTCAATTCCCACCTCTGCACCTTCTCCATCGACTCCCACTGATGACTGCTGTCGTTGTGTCCTTGGGCAAGACACTTAACCCCACTTTGTCCAAAGCCCCCACTGAAAGATCAAGGCTATGCTCACACTCAGAGAGCAGCCGTCCTCCTGTGGACTCACCACCTACAGAGGGTCAGTGAGGGGCTGGTGCTATGAGACTTGGGTGGCATCTCTGACTGTCACCCCCCTGACCCAGAAATGGATTAAAGGGTAGGGTTGAGACCTACAGGTGGTTCGAGGAGTCTGGAGACACAACCCCAAAATTCACACCCTACACACACACACACATACACACATTCATACACTCACACATTCACATTTACATATAGATACATGAAAAAGCAGAACATGAGAAAAAAGCATTTTAAAAGTTTACTCCAATGTAAACAAATATTTTTAATTGTCTATCCCTTAAATCTTTATTTGAATCAGTATTTTTGAGACCAGAAATGTTCATTTGAATTCTATATTGTCATGGACTTAACCCACTAAGCAAGCCGACGTTGAATCAACGTAATTTGAACGTCGTTGTCCGACGTAGAATAGAGGTCACTGGTGGGTGCAGAATGAAAGTTTTCTCGACGTCGTTTCCCGACGTCACTTCAACCTCCAAATGTTACGTTGATGGCACGTCAATTCAAGGTTTGAATGTGGTACGGAACCGGTCGGGTCTGACGTCCTATCAACGTCTCATATGACCAAAATATTGACGTTTATATGACGTTCGTTTTCAGTCGTTCCCACTAAGCAAGCAGATGTCAAAACTATGTCATTTCAACGTCATCTGGACGTTCATTCAAGGTTGCAATGTGGTACAGAACCGGTCGGGTCCGACGTCCTATCAACGTCTTATATGACCAAAATATTGCCTTCATATGACGTTCGTTTTCCGTTGTTCCCACTAAGCAAGCAGATGTCAAAACTATGTCATTTCAACGTCATCTGGACGTTATCTGGACGTTCAAATGACAACGCGGCCACTTCATTCAAGGTTGCAATGTGGTACAGAACCGGTCGGGTCCGACGTCCTCTCGACGTCTTATATGACCAAAATATTGACGTTTATATGACGTCCATTTACAGTCCTATTGACCTCTGCAGAATCACTCACTGGTCGAGACATACTTTTTGCAATAGGCAAGGCAAGTTTATTTGTATAGCACAGTCAAAACAAAAGGAAACTCAAAGCACTGAACAAAAGATAGAAACAATCAAACAAGGCATTACAATTATAAATATTGACTGTAAATTAAAAAGAAACAAATAAAATCTCTCATAAAATCTCTCAGTTGAAGCAGAAACAGAAGTGTTTTAAACCTGGATTTTAACATTGTCAAAGAAGAAGCCTGTCTCACATTTCCAGGAAGACCGTTCCAGATTTTAGCCTTGTGAATCTGAAATGCAGCTTTATCATGTTTAGTTCTGACTCTGGGCAATAAACGATAAACACAGCATTCAAAAATCATTAGAACAACTGTAGTAGAAGGATATCAGTCATTATTGCAAATGGAGCTGCATTAAAAATCATGTTTCTCTACATCAAAGTACAAGTTAAACCACACAGGGCACAGTGTTATGAACACTACTGTACTGAACAGTTCATGCCAAAGTAAAAAAACATGATTGTAGCGCCTATGTTTGGATCAGTATTAAAACAGGCACAAGCTACACTCTAGGTTCCCCAGATGTAAAAACACAATCTGAAAGGCAGAAGAATGCCTTTATTGAATGTTGAGGTTCCAACATGTGTCCTCTCTTGGTCTTCAGTCTCATAAGGTCCAAGCACAGCACCTGAAAATGTGGAACATGTTTAGTTTCAACATAATGTGGCAAAGTGATATAACAACACATAACTTTCTATTAATGCCTCAAACCACTCGATCCATCACCATGTGATACAAACCTTGGCACTAGCTCGAGACACTGGAAGACACTCCGTCTGAGAAACTTGGGATAAGGCTTTGGTCATTGGAGTAATTCCATGTAAAAAAACAATTGCAAATGTGCATTTGTTTTGCACATGGACACAAATGAGCCCTGAAAGCTACTTACCCTGTATTACTCTACACATGTTGCATTTCCGAGGGGGCATTTTCCCCTTGTTGCTCTTTTCCCTCATCATGAGTGAGTTGCTGAACAATCTGAGAAAAAGATAGATGTTTTCAAAGAGAATACACCAAATAATGGTTTATTCTAAAAACAACATATTAATACAGAAGAACAATCAATGTGTGAGAGTCTTACCTTTGAACACCTTCAACACAGTCTGACACCTGTAAGACTCAAACACACATGACACATTAGGAATACACATAGAACATTAGTTATTGCAACAATCATGAAATTATACTCTATGGATTTCACAATAATTGACTGCATTAGCAAAGGTAAATGTATTTTAATTAACATATGGCTGGTTTTAAAGTTTATAAGAAAAAGTAAGAAATTGAATAGAGTTGCAAGCGCTAGTTAGCTTGCTACCAGCAGATGAATGGATATTTAATATTTGCAGCTAACAATAACAAAAATAACAACTGTAGTGGCTCATTTAAACAGCCACAGTGAGAAGAAGTG